TTTTGTTTTTTTTTATGTATGTTACCGCATAACTTTGGACCACGTCAACCGTTTTCGATTTTTTCGGAAAGGTAGTGTCTCAGAGGTGGTCCCATACTAATCTGGTTGAGATCCGATCAGTGGATCATGAGACATATATATATATATTTTTTTTTTTATATGGGAGTTGAAGTCGGTTTTTTTTTTGCTAAGAATTACTTGTTTTCATTCGCAATGCAAACTTAAGAAAAATGAAAATATCTTGGGAATCTAGAAAAACGGTATACAGATGCGTAATCTAGGACCCAGAATTAAGTTATTCCTAAGACACCGATGCGCTGCGTAGTGTTTCCGATTTAGTTGATATTTATAATATATATTTTCTACAGAGAGGATGTAATTTTGGATGACATTTAGAGTCATAAATGAGTTTAAAAAGAATCCAGAAAGAGTAGTTTCTGAGGCCAACACGAGTCAGAAAGAGTGCAGAGCAAGAGTCCGAAATTAGCCGTAATGAGTCCAATAAGTGTCAAAAAAGAGTCTAAAAAGAATCCAAAAAGAGTCGTTTATGAGGCCAATAAGAGTCATAAAAGAGTCCAGAGTAAGAGTCCGAAATGAGATGTATATGAGGCCAATGTGTGTCATAAAAGAGTCTAAAAAGAATCCTAAAAGAGCCGTTTATGAGGTAAATAAGAGTCATAAAAGAGTCTTGAGTAAGAGTCCGAAATGAGCCGTATATAATAACAGTAAGAGTCAAATATGGCTCATATTGAGGCTCATTTGATGTATGAATTTAAGCTCATATATGTCGACCTTTGCAGGAAGGGAAACACCCTCATTCCGGACTCTTAAATGAGCTCATTATGAGCGTAAATGCTCCGAAATAGGACTCCTTTAAGACTCATTTATGACTCCAAATGTTTGCTGGGATATGTAGGGTATTTTACTTGTATGTTTTTATACTTGTTTAAATTCTTGATGTTCAATTTATGATTCAATGAATTTGTTTGTTATCAAAAAGAAAATTTTTGATTATGGTGCATTTACATGGTATGAATCTGTTCATAAGCCATATGAATTTTCCTATAAAAGAAGCACCAACTCTATGAAGAAATGAATGAAAGCGATATATATTTAACAATTTTGACTTGTATACTTGACAATATTTTTTTTTGTAAACAACAAATAAAAAAATGTTATTTTGTGCTAGCTTCGAAACTAGAAGCTTATTTTTTTTTTTAAATGTGCTTTAAAAAGGACCTACTGCCAATAAAGCCTTGTGGATTGCTATTTTTCTATATTTGTAATGCTTCCATTTAAACATCTTTGTGAAAAAACAGTTTTTTGTTCAGAATTACTTGTTTACGAAACGTTTGGCATAAGTTGAAATCATAGGGATGCCGTTTTCTTCCGTTTCTCAGTGGATTTTATACTTGAAAAGGTACCAAAATATGTATGCAATACTTCTACATATCTTCGTTTAAAGTACAAAACCGCGCATCAAGGAAATGCAAAACCTCGTATGGGAGGTTGCCTAAATTTTATAGGAGAGAGTGAAACTTGTCCTAATTAAAAACGGTTCTCTCTTTTAAACTTAATAATCTTCTCTCCTTATGTCTAAGTATCGATATTTTATTATAAATGGCTAAGGGCTTGATGTCAGGAGCTTCCGATGACCAAATATCTTTTTTGGCACAAATTTCAGTTCCGACGTTTTGCAGAACCACACACAGATATACATATTGGCGCTTGAACAATATGTTAGTGTCTGGCCTAACTTCTCCTCCGATATGCGGCGTGCGTGATTTTGTCACACAAAGTAAAGGACAGTTTTACGCCGACTCCGAACGGCGATTGTATTTTAATGAGAAGTTGTTTCCATGACAGAATACACTCAGGGGTTTACTATTACCAACAGAGGGGCAACCACTATTATAAAATACTGGGCTTGAACTCGGGCTCTGCGTAATGCTCTACAGCAGCCGCCACTACTTTTACATATATTGCTGGTATATTCAAAATACTATCCCGAACTTCGGAGTGTAGATATGTAATATAAAAAAGAATGAGAGGTACTATAAGAAAATGTACCCGAAATTCTGGAGCAAATGAAAAAATGCTCATTGAAACCAGTTCACATGTATAAATTAAAAGATATCTTAATAGGTTACAGTGTGAAGGAAATAAAAGATCATAAAATGTTTATTTGTTTCGTTAATTCTCTGAACCTTTTAAGATTTGACACTCCATTGTTTGCAGTAGTTTGCAAATATACACTAATTGTTCTAAAATCGCAAACTTTTTCGTGGGATGTTTTTCTTTGATTTCGAATTGAAAATACATTACGATCATATTGTACCGAAATAAGTATCTCTGCATTTTGTAAAAGCCAGAAAGAAGCATAAACTGTTTGAAAAAATTAAAGGGAGAAGTATACATGCCTTCTATAATTTTGACTTATATGTATGTATATTTGGCAAGTCTTTGTGTAACAAAAAATACACATTTTCATTTCTTTGCCAGCTTGGAAAATATAGGCTTATTTTTACTTAAATGTGATATAAAGCCCATTAAAATGTTCTGTAATGCCTTGTTTTTAAGTTTGTTATCATAGTGCTTTGTATTTTTATTGTCCACTATACGTGAGTTGCTTCTCTTCAAAAAGTTCTAGTTCAAAGAATTTCTTTGTTTTGAATTTGTTTGTTTATTGTTTTTAATTTTTAAAATTCCTATATTTGACATGTATGTGAACGGCGGAGTTGCCGCTTTCCTCCTTTTCGGTGGGTTTTATATTAAAAAAGGCCTCAAAATGGGAAAAAAACCTCGTTGGTATCTCTGCATCTGTTAAACTTTTTATGGGAAGATGTATAAAAATCCAACTTGCTATAATTTCATATGCTTAACAGTATCACAACAGTATGTTTACAGTATCTCCCCATAATTTTTCATATGAAAAAATCTATTATATGCATATCATTGAATTCCTCATAAGAACATGTAGCCCCTTTATTTTAGCGTATCAACAGTACATCATATGGCTTCATACCATGTAAATGCACCATTATTCAATAATAAACTTTCAAACAAGAAAGAAATAAATATTTTTAAATTGAACAATATATCATATGATATAAGCATTAACACCAATAATAATGTCAGCCTTGAAATCCAACGGAGAATCACTCTTGCCAACAAGTGCTACTTTGGGCTGAGTAGGCAATTGAGAAGTAAAGCCCTCTCTCGTCGTACAAAGATCACACTCGATAAGTCGCTCATTATGCCTGTGCTGGTGTATGACGCGGACCCTGTAGTCAAATGTACTAGTTGTAAACTACCTCACAACTAGTATGAAACGCATGCCCAACTAGTCGGCCAACTATCTTTTTTCCATGCAATCAACTGGTATTTTTAACATGGGGATGTCCTACAAGATGGCAATTGTCAGATTTTGGTCAGAAATATACCAGTCTCATACTAGTTCAAAATAGACAGAAAAATCCTAGTCCAATTATGGACCAAAACCACTACTTTGGAAGTCAAAAAATAAAATGAATTCATGAATATACAATAAAAAAACTTTTGATGAAGTACACTTTAATACATTACACATTTTTATTTAGCTTAGATTTGGCAATAATTAATGTTAAATTGTTTGAGTATTAGTATTTCGAACCAAAATTGAAATGCATTATACATTAAACGTTATTAAAAGTAAAAGCTTACAGGTACAATAAATACTATATTTTTATCTTTTTTAATAATATTGAATATGGAAAAGAAAACATTTTGGTTAAAAATAAAACTAACATTTTAGTTCATTTTTGAGTGAACTAAAATAAAGATGAAAGTTTTCATTGAAATAAATTAAATTCATTAACTTTGCACATTTCAGTCCTTTCTTTTTAAAATTTTTTAAAAGTAATAATTAATGTTTAAAATTTGAGATTCGGATAAGAATAAAATAAATAAATAATTCAAGCAGTTATTAAATGTTCTTAATTTTTGTCTATACTTTGGCTTGTTGATTGATAATTGAAATTAATCAAATAATTATTTAATCGTGTAATTAAAAAAAGTCAAAGATGATTGAAAGTACTCACTCCACTTCCACTTAATTTTCTTCGTTGGTTCTCTTCATACCTCTATGATAGATCACAAAGGGTAATGTTTAAAAATACTATCTCTGACGTCATTTGTGTTACTTCAGGAGTCCCTCAAGGTAGCCACCTAGGCCCGGTTCTGTTCTTGCTTTTTATAAACGATAGTTCCACAGATATATAGTTTTCCAAAATTTGAATATATGGAGATGATGTAAAGCTTTATAAATCGTACGTTTCAATTAAAGAAAGGTCAGACTTACACCCCTATTCTGCAACTTCTTCGTATTCGGATTTTGGTATGAATCGTAGAAATAGTATGCTGCAATCCGAATCGTATTTTCGAACTTTCGAAATTCGTAACAATGGCATGCCTAAAAACTAACGAGTAAGCTTTTTTGCGTAATTTTGTA